CCTCTTTGGAAGCGTGTCCTCCTGCACATGGGGTAGGCTGTCAGAGGTGGTTATCGCTATCCACCACTGCCTTCTCGACACGTGTCCCCCTGCACATGGGGTAAATATTCTCTTGGAATTCTGTCAGAGGTTTCCCTCACGCGCCTATGACTAGGCCGAACAGCGTGGTATTAAGTCCTCGAAGTAATCGACCTGTTGAGGTCGATTAGGTTGCTCAATCACGTATCTGGTCGAAGGATAGTTTGGTCGACAGCCTTGCTTGGTCGACTGGCTGACTGCTCGATTTCTTTGGCTTCCTCATAATATGACCTCCTCAACCGGTCAAGAGACCGGTTCAGCCTTCTGAATATAATATCCTATATCAAGGTTGATGTCCGCCACGTAGGCTCGTTATCCAGCCTGAGTGATAAATGGACCAAAAATGATGAATTTTACAATTTATTGTATTAAGTTTGATGTCCTCCAAATTAGTGGACCATTTCTGAAAAATAGCCAATATAATGGACCAAAAATGAAATTTTACCTATTTCGCTATTCCTACAAATAGTTTTTTAATTAAAAAAACAAACTTGTTTTTTATTTGATGATATTCATTAGTGTAACAAATTAATTTACCTGCACTTGCAAACGTGTCGCGAGTTGCGTTGCCAAATTTAATGTCACGAATTTTTTATTAACATAACCTAAATGCGTATGTAATTTTTAATACACGGCGCTTTTTGAAAAATGTGTCGTCAGTACATAATTTGGTGACACAATATATTCTTGTTAGTAATTTCCAATGGGTGACTCTTTTTTGAGCGCGTCAATAATTATTACGCGTCAGTGACATAAAATTTTAGTGTCGGTAAATCATAATGCATGGCGCTTTTTTATAGCGTCATTAATCTGGATTATTGTGAAATTAAATTGTATTGTTGATAATTTTTTAGTGCACTACACTTTTTAAGTGCGCCATTATAATGCGTGGTCATTATGAATGGGCAACAATATTATGTCAAGATTTTTAGTTACACATATAATACTTTCCATCTACATTCTAGAGATTCCACTATTATAATAAGAGTAATGCTATAGGTACATAATATTTTACAATGAGGTGTACATAACACTCACATTGAGTGGGACCCACTAAAATTAAAAATCAAGTAGATCCCACTCTATGTAAGTGTTATGTACATCTTTATGTACATATTATGTACATGTAGCATTTTTCTTATAATAAAACTCGAACAATGATAATATCCACAATAAATATAGAACATAAATAAAATGTTGAAATTTCAGTAACATAATAAAAATAAAAACATCATCATTGTCTAGTAAAATCATTTCGAATAATTCTGAAAAATGTAGAATAAACAAGGTAGGCGATGATATTTCTTCCCGCCGTACGCTTCTTATATTAAGTGCAGACTTGTTTTAAAATAAAAGAACAAGTATCAATTTCTATTCATCAAAGTGACCTAACTAGAAAAAAAATAATAATTCATATATGGATACCGAACACAATTTCACATGAAACATTTAAATGTAACTACTTACCAATATATGTTTCAAAAGGAATCATGTTTTTCAAGCACTTTCTGAATAGTCGAGCATATTATATAATAAAACAAGGTACTAAGACCATATGATTATATAAACCTGTTTAAATAATGTTCATTAACTATAAATCCTTTTAGATACGCAACTTGAATGAATACATAGACTAAACCCCCAAAAAAGTACCTTGATGAGGTCCCATCAAACATTTTTATCTTTATCAGGCATTTTTCTCCAATCTGAATACTTAATGGAACAAAATTTCTTTTTTCTTGCAACAGTATCAAGCCAGCCACCCAAAATTTCACCACTTCGTTTAATTGGTTGCGCTAATTTATTGAACTCGACATGCACTTTTGTGCCTTCAGGTAGTGAATACATCTTTAGCACGTGTTTGTCCTCGTCTCTTACGCACACTACCTTCTGGATCTACGTTAAGATTTTAAAAGCATGTTATACCTTCTGTATCTACGTTAGGATTTTAGAAGCGTGTTATTTTGATCACAAATTTGACACATATAATAGAAGTAGATATATATATCACTACAAGAAATTTGATATTTTATGACAAAAATATTCATCCTAAACAATCTATTTTTGTCATTAAAAGTATATAGGGACAAAAAAATTTCGTCGCAACGTTCGTCACCGTAGCCGCATCACAAAATGTCTATGTGACATTATTTGATTTGTCATTAAATAATTAGTTTTAGTGACGTCTATCTCATTACTTTATATATGAAAAACTCGTCATTGAAATTCTTAAATTGTCACTAAAAGATCAAATTAAAATGACGAAGTAATATTTTTGTCATCTAAATAACAACCTATAATGACGAACTTGCCATTTTTACAATCAAATTTTTGTCACTTAAATGTATTTTTAGATGACAAATTTAAATGTTCGTCATTTGAACACTAACATATAGTGACGAATTTCAAAGAAAGAAATATAATAAATTATTGTTTTTATATTTTGAAACAATATTTTAGTTATCACAATCCACAGCCCACTCGACTAACCTTGAAATGCCTAGCCCACAAGCTTCCACACAAACCATATTGCATGTATAAATTTGCCAGTAATTTTTTTTTTAGCCATTTAAATTTGTA